GAAAACACACGTCCGAGCACGCTTCAGCTTGACGTACCTTATTTTCCCTTTTATTACCACGTCACTCTGAGGTGACGGGGTCGGGGAGCGGCTGCGGGTGCGTTTATTCTGCGGATCTGAGAAAGCGCTCGGTTCCAGTAGGGTCAGGGTTAAGGGGAGGAGAGTAACACATCTAAAATAACGGCGTATGCCGCAGAGACCTTGAATTTGCGTTGGTAATTTCTGCGCAATCTAGAGGCAGAATTGTCACGTCATTAATTTTACACTCTGGCTTTCGTTTATTCTGCGGATCTGAGAAAGCGCTCGGTTCCAGTAGGGTCAGGGTTAAGGGGAGGAGAGTAACACATCTAAAATAACGGCGTATGCCGCAGAGACCTTGAATTTGCGTTGGTAATTTCTGCGCAATCTAGAGGCAGAATTGTCACGTCATTAATTTTACACTCTGGCTTTCCCCCCCCCCCCCCCCCCGCAGGTTGGGAATGGGTTAAATGGGATGAATTTCCTCCAGCAGATCAACTGTTCTGGGCCTTGCGCTGTTTAAGAGAGCAAGGTTACAATCCTTTTACAGAAGAGCTCGATCATCTGAAGGGGTACACGGGAAGTCACCAACTGGGGTAAAAATGAGTTGTACGTTACGTAACAAGCAACGGGACAGACCTGCTTTTGTTGGTGTGAAAGAGAAAAGGATGTTCATCCTGCTCGCTCTGCGCACGCGGAACTATTACCCCTCCCAAAGCCAAAGAGGTGCCGAATGTTTCAGGGCTTTTACCGTACTTCTACACGACAGTTGTCTCTCGCTCCAGAGCTATTTCTAGCTCTTGTGGTTAAGTTAATGGCTTCTTTTACAGAAAACTCATAGTGTTTTACCCGGTTAATCTTTATACTGATGAATAGCCCTTCGGAAGCCAGATCTAGTCATGAAATCATAGAATGTTTTGGGTTGGAAGGGACCCCTAGAGGTCATCTAGTCCAACCCCCCCTGCAGTGAGCAGGGACACCGCTAACCAGATCAGGTTGCTCAGAGCCCCGTCCAACCTGGCCTTGAATGTTTCCAGGGATGGGGCCTCCACTGC